AACAGTTGCGACCGGATGTACTGACTACTCAAGTTGGCGAAGGGTTCGGCTTTAAAGTGTAGTCCACACCAACCGGGCTCGAGTCCCGCCGAGGGTGTTATTTTCGACCCGGGTCAAGTCGAAAGTCAGGTAGAGTCTTTCAAGAGATCAAGTCTATGCGAAATTGACTGGAAACGGGAGGTTTGCTTGTATGGTTGTATGTTTGTGGAAAAATGCGACTATCACTCCTCCGTAACTCAATTCTTTAGTCTAGGCTGCCTAGGACTCTTATTCAGGATTCTCAACATAAAATAATCCAGTCAGATATGATACATTTGCAGATGAGATCTTTGAAGACGTAAGACTCATCATAATTTGGGTCAAAGACAAGCTCCGTCTAATATACAACATTTAATTACTAATTAACCTCGTCCACATCCGAGGAAACTTCACAATGAAAGGCTGTTTGGCTTGTTTGGGAAAGAAATACAGTAAATTGACAGTACAGTGAAAAAATCAGACACAAAATTCTAATCCCATTTATTGACGACTCAAATCGGGGAAACCTTTTTTTCTCTGCCGTCAAGCAACTTCGTGTTTGTAGCATTGTCGAAAGTTTACACCAGTTTACCAGGGCTCGAGTCCCGCTGACGGTGTGAGTATGAGACCCAGGCAGAGTGAAAACTGCAGTCCGGTCGGGACTGGAGGATAATACCGTTTTGTAAACAAAGCAGTCACGTTTGAGTCGGTCTAAATGTGAGGAGTACGCAACGGAATGTAAGATTGAACTTCCCTCCCTTCATCATCTTGTACGACCTCGGCTGAGTAGAACGCTGGAATGGGAGGAAGAACTGACTTTAGAAGAACTCTTCACCGAGGCGGTGTGACACGAATTCGTTTGATGGTCTCGTCGGAAACGCAAGACTGCTGGATTGTGTGAGCAAGTCCTCGGTTCATCGTCCTGCAACCCAGCTGGATCCGAGCCAATCCCTTGCTGGAATAGAGCAGAAATGTACTAAATTAAGAGAAAACGTACCGGTTCTTGCGCTGACAATGTCCGTCAGGGTGGTACAGACAGAAGCGGGACACAGATTCATCGGAGGATGACAGGACGGTGAGCTGGACACTTGTCCGCTCAATCCGCCAGTCCTCACTCCTCCTTCGGTTTCCGGCGAGACCGTCTCACGACTTCGAGTCCGTCGACTTTTCCGTTGAAATGGCAACTCATGTCACGTTGACTGAGTTGTTGTGCAAGAAGTGTTGATGGCTTCGCGAGCTCTCCCCTCCGAGGATGGATAGACAGTCGAGTCGCCACTTGGTGGGACTCGAACCGCCGGCCGATGCGGGGTCGGGGAGGACCGATGAAACCGGTCGAGCCGGCAAAAGGGGCACCGTCGCAACTGGAAACCACTTCTTCCGCGTCGCCAGTCGTCGTGCCGGACAACCGACCGCCGACCGGAGGCGAGAGCAGCTTCACTTTGTCCCGTCGGCAACTCGACAGAGTATGCAGTTGTCGCGATGCGCCGAAAATCCGACATCCGTTGGCGTTCATGACGCACGATGACGTATGCAAGTCGACACACGTACTCGTTGTACACTCTCCCAGTCGCGTCTGTCCGCATT